CAAAAGCTAATGGAAGTGATTGTTGATAAACCAAAATAAATTAATTTTTAAAAAATGAAGGTCAGTAATAAAAAAAAGAGAGAGAAAATGAAGGTCAGACAACAGCAACGGAAGGCAACACCATCCTCCCAGTCCCTCGGGCTCACAACCTAGGAGTCATCCTGGATTCCTCACTCTCTCTCACCACCTCACTACCTCCATATCCAATCTATGGCCAAGGCCTATCACTTTCACCTTTGCAACATCTCGAGTATGCCCCCTTCTCTCCTCTGTCACTGCCACCACTCTGGTACAGGCCCTCATCCCCTCATGCCTGGACTTCTACAATAGCCTTCTGGCATGTCTGCCAGCCTCAAGTCTTTCCCCACCCAATCCCATCTTTCACTGAGTCACTAACGTGATTTTCTAAAGTGCAGATCTAACCAGGTCACTGCCCCACCCGCCCCTACAATAAACTCCAGTGGCTTCCTGTTACCTCCAAGAGCAAATAGAAAATGCTTTTTTTGGCATTCAGAGCCCTTTATAACCTAGACTTCTCCTACCTTTCTAGTCTTCTTACACCTTGCTCTCCAACACGTATTTTTTGACCCTGACATTAGTGACACTGGCTTCCTGGCTATTTCACAAACAAGACACTATCTCTCAGCTTCAGGCATTTTCTCTGACTGTCCCCCATGTGTGGAATGCTCTCCCTCCTCCGCTCTGACTACTAACCTCCCTCACTTCTTTTAAGTCCCAACTAAAATCCCATCTGCTACCGGAAGCCTTCCCCAACCCCTCTTAATTCTAGTGTCTTCCCTTGGTTAATCATTTCCTATTTATCCTGAATATAGCTGGCTTTGCATGTATTTGTTTTCTTGTTGTCTCCCTCATTCAATTGTAAGCTCCTTGAGGGCAGGGGATAGTCTTTTAAGGACAGGGACTGTCTGGTTTGTTATTTTTATCCCTAGTGGTTAGCACAGCGCCTAGGACTCACTAAGCACTTAATAAATGCTGTCTGTCTGTCTTTCTATTTATATTGGAAACAAAAAGGGCAAAATGGCATTACTTGCAGAAGAAATAATAAAACAAATCCAACAATCTCTACCAAAAAATTAACTAATAAAATAAATGAATTAAGTACTAAATTAACTCCCTAAAATAATTCTCTCTCTCTTTCTCTGTCTGTCTGTCTGTCTGTCTCTGTCTCTGTCTCTCTCTATCTCTCCCTCTCCCTCTCCCTCTCTCTCTTTCTCTCTCTCGTCGGTCCAATCTTGAAATTTCATTGATGTAGGAAGCTCCTAACCAGTAAATTCCTCTACCAATGCAGGCTGGCATTCTTACATACCAGCAATAAAGAGCAAGAAAATAATAATAAAAAAAGGAAATCCATTTATGATAACAAAAACCATAAACTATTTGGTTTAGGTAAACAAATTGTGGCACATGAATGCTTTAGTGTCCTATTATGAAATTGACAATTTCAGAGGAAACTGGTAACAATTTCATGAATTGAAACAGAGTGAAGTGAGCAGAACTTGAACAATTTATAAAACAATAACATTTTTATAGAGAAAAACAACTTTGAGATATTTTAGAACTAATCAACACAGTTATAAAGCATGAGTCCAAAAAAATGAAAATGAAACAACACTTCACCCCACTCTTTGACAGAGAGGTAATGAAATTAAATTGCAGAAACAGATACATTTTGGGGCATGGCTAATGTGGAAATTTGTTTTATTGGACTACGTAGCTGAAGTGGACTAAGTTGTCACAAAAAAACA